AATAATAATAATAATAATAATAATAATAATAATAATAATAATAATAATAATAATAATAATAATAATAATAATAATAATAATAATAATAATAATAATAATATAATAATAAAGTTGGAAGTGGCCTTGGAGGTCATCTAGTCCAATCCCCTGCTCAGGCAGGAAACCCTATACCATTTCGGACAAATGGCTGTCCAGTCTCTTCTTAAAAACTTCCAGTGTTGGAACATTCACTGCTTCTGGAGGCAGGTTGCTCCACTGGTTAATTGTTCTAACTGTCAGGAAGTTTCTCCTTAGTTCTAGGTTGCTTCTCTCCTTGATTAGTTTCCACCCGTTGCTTCTTGTCCTGCCTTCAGGGGCTTTGGAGAATAGCTTGACTCCCTCTTCTTTGTGGCAGTCCCTGAGATATTGGAACACTGCTATCATGTCCCCACTTGTCCTTCTCTTCATTAAACTAGACATGCCCAATTCCAGGAACTGTTCCTTATAATTAGTTAATTCTGGGTGGGAAACCTGTAGCTTTCATGCTGTATCACCTCCTTCCTCTTTCTGCAGTGTCTAGACTCCCCCATCCCATCATGATGCTAATATTCAGTGTCAAACATGGACATTTAGTGGCACAATTTTTTCCCCTTAAAATAGCAAGAAAAATGGATTTGATAAACCTGCACCAGGTTGGGTGCAACTATTTTATTTCAAAATGTTCACCATACTCCCACTACAAGGCCAAAGCATTGGCTCCCCACTTCTGGTGACAGCATTGCTACCTCTCCTGCAGCCTCCAAACAATCATATATAAATTGGCCCTACAGAAAAGAAGTCTGCCTCTGATTTTACTGAAATAATCCAATGCAGATTGGCATCTCAGTATACCTTGTTGAAAGCAGGAATTGTAGCATAGGTCAGTTCAAAATACATGCCTGATAGCTTGTAAATACTTGCAAATAATACTTGCAACTTTATTGTAGGAAATTCTGCTTTGGTTCTGGCTGCAAAAGAGATGCCCTATGGGTAGAGCAATATAGAAAATATAGCAATTTCCATGAAACAAAAGCTACATTTTTTTTTAAAAAAAAATACGTATTCATGAAATTTTGATCTTGCCTTTCTTCTAGGATCTCAAGATAACATGCCAAGGGAACCCTATCTTTAATCCCTAGGCAGGGATGGCCACTCAATACATGTTTGTGGCTGAGAAAAATGAGATTTAATGCTTCCCATTAAGGTTACAACCTGGAACAGAAATATTAGAAGAAGCATCCCCCTCAACAGAAGAAAATTCTGTATTGCTCAGAGATTTCAAACTGAGCTGCGATGGAACTTGAAAACAATCTCTTTCATTTAGACTCATTCAGTGTTGTGCCATACTTCAATGTTTTTCATCTTTTGACAGAAAGATCCACTTTTTAAATAATGATTCTCCTCAATAAATACTAAATTTTGGAGTGTGTTTGTGTGTTTTAATCAGGCCTTCAAGGGCTATATGATGTGATGGTGCTTTTGAATCATTGTTTGCCTCCCAGAGTCTCTGCTCTTTAAATCTTTTAAATAAATGAATGAATAAACTGTAGGGAAAGGTGAAATAATATTATGACTAGTAAAACTGCAAATCCAGTAAAGCATGTATCCAGCTATTTTTATTTGCTTGGTTTAGTTTATAGATTTAACACTTTTTTTTTCATTTTGGTATAAATGAATGTTCTAAAACATTTAGCAGGTGGTAATCTATTCCAATATAATCCCTTTGACTCTCTGTTAAGCAACCTACAATTTGTTTAAATTCTCCAGGCTCTTTGAGTCTTTCTCTGAATGTAACTTAAATTAAAAAAAAATGCATTTCTGCAACTACCTTTCTCTTTACTAATAGTTTTGTCAATATAGGCCTGATTCTCTTAGATTTTAAAGCTACCCATTAAGCTGATCTGAAGGTAAATGAGCTGTACCAATCAAATTCCTGAAAAGGTATAAAAGGGCTGCTGAAGACAGCTTAAAATGTAGAGATGCCAACAATGATAAATTGCTGATCATAGGTTTTGTGTTATTTAACCTCTCATCACTTTTTCTACAATCTTCCAGTTTCTACTTGGACCGGCAAGCCAGCAAGAACCTACATTATCTGGGTAAGGATCTTTGTGGACAGGAAGATTAGAACTATTTCTGCTCTGTAAAAATAAACATGGATTTTTGCCTAGTAATACTTTCCTGGCTTTTCCTGTTTGACATTAAATTCTGAAACTTAATTTTGAATTTTAGGTTTTGCCAACCTACACAGAGAGTGCACAATAAAAAAGAAACTGCTTAAAATAAATAACTTGAATTAGAAAAGTAACCCAACTGTTTTCCACTAATAAGGCTATTACTTATTAAAATATTAATTAGCCCAGAAAAAAAGCCTTGCTCTGTTTCATTCTGCAATGCTCTAAGTTCAAGAGCAAAGAACTTCTCATTTTGGGAGAAAGGAAATTTTCCTGAGGCTCTCTCAGTACTTTAAATAAGATTAATTTCTGATAGCAAAACATCACATGTTGGTATTTTGCATCTGAAATTTGCGGGGAATAAATTCAAAATAGTTGACATGTGGCAAATGACCAGTCTCAGAAACACTATTTGTACCCTATTTCTGTTTGCCAGACCACCCCTTTAGAAAATAAGGAAGTGTCTGTTCAGCACATAATAGTGCCTTTGCAGGCTACTTGGAAATTACAACTGGTACATAATGCAGCAGCCTGCTTGATTGCAGGTCAGAATTATTACAGTGGTGTGACATTGGTTTTATAGTTGTTTCATTGTCCTCTAGTAGATTTCTGAGTCTAATTCAAAGTGCTGGTTTTAAACTATACAGCCTTAAAGACTTGAATCCTTAGGACCTTCAGGGCTACCTCTTTCAATTAGAAGTGACCCATCATATTCACTCATATTAGGTAGGAGTATTTAGTGTTTTTCTCTGATACATGAAGTTTGGAGGTGGGGTGCAAGGGAAGCAGAGTGTTTTTCCTTAATTGTTGTATCTCTCTAGAAAGACTGTCCCTGTAAATTTGGATGGTGTCCTCTGTACAGGTACTTAGGAAGGTAGTTAACAAAAAAGCTGTTCCATAAAATGTGAAGGAATACATTTGAAAAAAATAAAACTCTTAACTAAGTGATCAGAAAATGATTAAGCAAGCCATTGTACAATAGTACAATATCTTCATTTAGGTTAATGTTGTGTTAGGAATGGATAGTTGTCAGATCTGCAGGATCTATGTCCTGTTTAATTAGAACCTGATTGGAATGTAATGTGAACTTAGATTTAAAGCATTTTAAGCCCAGGATTGT